AGGGTGAAATTGTAGCTTGGCCAGCACTGTATAACGAGATAAGATCACGGATCTTACAGTTTTTAATGCAATTTATAGGATATCCAGTAGCATGGAAATTGAACGACTTTTGTTAGACAATTTAAGCAGAGAATAGTAGGATCCTCTAGCTTAAGGTAGCAAAGATACCTAGAGGGTCAACGATTCAGTGTTTAGTTTTAGGCACCCCTCATGTTACATCCTTTGTCGTATGAAAGCTTTCATTCGAGACTTTTCGGGAAACCAAGTACCATTTTCTGCTCAGTGCACGCTCGGGTCTTGTTAATCATCACTTCGCAGAACTTCGCACTGACTCTACTATCTATCTATCTTCTTGTGCAGACATGTGTAATGATGGCTTTGGAACTCACTGCGCGATGCCGAACATCAGGAAAGAATTTAAGATTGCACATAACCGGAACCTTTCCATGTAATGTTGATATCTTCAGAGCAAAAAAAATTTCGATGAAAAACAAATCTGACATAGTACTGAACTATTCTTGACTTGATGGTTGCCGTAAGGACAATAACCAGGGTTAAGCAAGAGCTGTGGCACACGATCGCTGGTTGCCACCTCCCCCCTCCCTCTTATCGCTGTCTCAATTAAGACCCCCTGAACTACACACCTAAGATAGCATTATTACTTGTAGGCCCTTTCAAACATAACGGGCAACATATCTATAATTAGCATGTCAATTAACCCCTATAGACAATGTTTGAGCGAATTCTGAAGCTTCAAGATACTGGGTCACCTAAGTGAAATCACCAATTTCCAGCATGATTAATTTCGTTTCAAAAGTGAAGTAGCTAGCTGTTTTTGCACTCAAGAGAAAGCACTACTCCTTCTGTGACCAATTCAGAAATCTCGCTTCAAAAGACCTCCTAACTTTGGAATTAGAAGCCAACCAAAATCTTGTTTTTCCTATTTTTCGTTCATAATGGCTGTGCTTTCACCAAATATTATTCAGAGCCAAAAAGACGAATCAGGCTAAAATCACTCCTATGAAATACGAGGTCTAGGCTATCGATTCATATAATTAACCGTTCGCTAAAAAAGTTTTTTATATATAGTTAATCGGTGGTGCCACACCCCATTACCTTATCTTCAAACAAATCAAATGATTTATGATTTATTTGCCTTTTATATTATCACAACATGCGGCACCCAGACAAAATGATCCATTTTTTTAACGTGAATGATCTTACTCTTTGTCAATTGCAAGTGCAAGCTTCTTCTGAAATTCGTCTCTCCGTCTCGTTAGGGCCAGTATATCGAATCGTGCTCTCTTCAGGGCTTCTTAGTTCTTGTCGGACTTTTTGACAGGCGTCTCACGTTGAATGTTCCGATGTATATACATTCACTGCTGGGTGGAACATACTTGATCCTGCTTTCCTGGATCAAGGGGCTCGACGTCCGGCAGGGTGGAGAAGAGCGGTCAGACCGACCAGTCGAGGGACGTGTAGAAGATGAACAGATCAAATAGCTGCATTTTTTATATAGTTGTTGCTGTTTAATCTCCTTCTTTACATAGCTGAAATTTTATATGAAAACATTCCTTCAAAAGCAAGATAATCGTTTTCTTTTCCTATGCAAATGTAAAATACTGGTAAAATACTACGAAAATATTGGAATACGGTAACATGCTAAGTCTGCGCTACTACGTGAATCGCAAGGAGGCGACAAGAATGTATATATTCGATAGCCTAAGCCTCGTAATCTACATTAAAGTGATTTGAGCCTGATTGGTCTTCTTTAGCCTAAGATATTGAAAACGAAAAATGGAACAAATGAGATTTTGGCTTGCTCTTGACTTCTTAATTTGGACGTCATCTGAAGTGGAAATCCTAATGTGAGCAAAGAAATAGTAGTTATTTGTATTAAGCGCAGAAAGAAGTAGTTAACTTACCTTTGAAACAAAGTAACATGTTTGAAAACGACCATCTCACTTAGGTGGTCCTATTTGGAAACCTCAGAATCCGCTGAAACTTGGACCACAGGGGTCATTTTACTTGCTAATTACAAAACGATGCTCTTATGCTTTATAGATCTTCAAATATCAAATTTAGATATTCTTACTGTAAGTATACGATAATGGGTCAAACATCAATGTGCTAATATTTTGCATGACGGGCCTATTTGACATTGTTAACGAATATCATGTTAGGCGAACAGCGGACGCCTTGATAACGACCCCCCCCCTCCCTGATTCCTCAATACGACCCCCCAGGTGTGGCATGCCACACCCCACGCTTGACCCTGACAATAACCATTGTGGGCCATATTTCTAAGTCTTCTTGGTTTCTCGAACTACTGACAAGTCGAAGACCTATGCAATCATATTTTGGTGCCAATTTCACAGAAAAATTACATTGATTAAACTTTGGGATAGATCCGCTTGCAAATTTGCTTGTCAAACAGTTCCTTGACTCGCGAAATAAACGTATACGCTTCCCATTTAGTCTTTTTGCACTGGGATCAATCGCATGACATGCTATTTCCGGGGAAACCACGCTTCAGCTTACTCATCCATGCGTACAATACACTCATAATTTGTCAAAAAAGTCGCCGCACTCCGGGACTCCCCCATCTGCCCTATCTGATAGCCTATTTGGAATTCTCCATATTGGTGGTCCAGTTTTAGGCATTTTCGGGCCTGCTTGTAGACCACATAGTAATTTAGGGGGCGGGGGAGGGGGGGGGGGGGAGGGGGAGGGGAGGGAGGGATGTTAGGTAAACTCTGCCTTTAAATGCTGGATGGAATATAATCCTCAACTTGCACCACTTTGGGAGTGTTTATTGCTATGCAAGAGTGGTTGTGACTACGATTTTTCTGAAAATCTCTTGCTCTCAAATGTATAAGGTAAAGAGAGAAACTGATCGGGCACGAGGTTACGATTAAAAAAACGTGACCAAAAACGTTAGACAATCGACTTCATGGATCAAATGCAGTGCAGACAAGGGCACATCCTCCGCTTAAGGCCCCGGACAGACTTCACGCGATTTGATCGTCGCGACTCAATCGCCGACATTTCCATTCATTTTCATTTCACATTCAAAAATTTCGGGCTGGAAAAGCATCACAACCGAAATGCAAGTTGATCGGCATGGAATGATGTTGTAACAGTTGTCTCGTCGCGATTCAGTCGCGACGATCAAATCGCGTGAAGTCTGTCCGGGGGTTTAACACGACACAAAGATGACTCAGAAACAGGGGAAAGCTAAATCGACTCTTCTTTATTATTGTCTAAGCTAAAAATGTGTTTGAAGAAGCTTTCACATCTTTACACTACAAAATGCGATGATAAAAGAAACGACAAGAATCTAATAAGTTGAGGGAAATGCAAGATTCAAAAAAACCACTCCAATTCTCGTTGTTTTAGTTTTTTAAGGTCACATCTACATATTGAAAACATCGATTCCGTTCAATGATAGCCTATTTAGCTGCTACATCATAGCTCGTTCGCAACTTTATGTCCGACAAAACCACCACCTTATAAGGGAAGTAGCGAAGTATCGTTAGGTTCTCACATGATATTTATGTATAGGCTGCTGCATGACAAATGCGCAAAATTTTGCGCGAACGCGGCTTTATTAGCCCCAGAGCGCATGAGTCGCAGAATTTACAACGGTGAGATACACGAGCGCCTTCGCGCCCGCTCAATAATACTGCTTTTGCGTCTTCTTATGCAGTAGCTTTACTAATACTCGTCTCGGAACGCTGATTCCAAACTGTTCGCCTCTGCAAACCCGTTTTCGGAAAGTAATGAATCTTTCATGATAACCTGGTTGCACTGTTCCAGAGGAGAATGGACGATGCAATATCTCATTGCGTTTTTGTTTACTGAAATTTGAATTATTTAGTCTGGATGCAATGGCAGATCATCACTGATGTTGCTCTACCGGTGTAAACTAGACAAATCGAACGCATTGATGGCATTTGCCGGCTTGCACCTCATAGTAATCATAAGAAAAAACATCCATAACTTCTTTCGTAAAATCCCTTTGCAGATAGCGAACATAGATTTGAAATCAGTGTTAGAAGACGAGCATGTCCACATATTTCTCATGTGGAAAGGCCACGATGACATCGGGTCCTTCCCTTCTTAGTATTCCTACAGCATACCTGTAGTCCTGACTTTGGTGGTCATTTAATTATTTAGCTGACGTCATTCGCTGGAACAATGACGTAAGCTGTTTTGTCGGATTGGAAAAACTAACTTCGACTATAGTAAAGCGTCACCGCAAACTGTGCACCACAGACATTGTCCAAGTTGTCCGGCGTCCATTAGCGACCCGCCCCTATCAGTAGATGTATCTCTCCGATTCTACCCAACCAGCAGTGATCCGATGTTATAATTAACGAAGCAACATGATACTCTAACAGTAGAGAAGTGATTTTCTACCCAGATATTCAAACTTGAGAATTATTTGCTCTGCACAGAACAGATTCTGATTTTGTATCTGTCTAACAAACAAAGAGATACTTCATTGAAAAGTCATTACAGAAGCCAAATTGAAAAACCGTTAGATTCTCGAGAAACTTCCGCTGCATAATATACTGAGTTCCGCTCACGGATGGTTTGAGCGTATTCAAAAGAATCCAAGGTTGTATGGAATGGTAGGATTTGTGGCCATTTTTGCATAGATTCTCCCTGTAGAAAAAGCCTCGACCATAATTTACGCGATTTCATCGCCTCGCGATTCTTCCAACAAGACAACTGATCCATTGCATGCCGAATTCTCCTGCATTTCGATTGTGATAGTTCTCACACAATTAATCGCGACTAACTATAACAACCGAAAAGCAAGGTGATCGATATGCAATGAACGCGTAACAGCTATCTTGTCGTGAGAATTGCGAGGCGACGAAATCGCGTGTACTATGCCCGAGGCCAAGTTTTTTCACACTGGACGTCATGGACAGATCGTCTTGTAAGAAAAATGCTCGCATCCTTCAATGATTCTAACTTCGGATGTCAAAGGCTACTCCAAATAAAAATAAAGTCTGTAGCCACTTTTCGCATAAAGGGAAGATCTATGCAGACTACTAATGAGATAGAACGTGAGAACTTATTACTGAGCGTGGGAATACAACATAATATCTTCTGAGATTGAATAAGGGATTCATGCAGATTAGATCCTAGAATATATTTGTATACAAAGCACAAATAACTCTGGCAATTCAGGTGGTAGTGTTGATAACAAGTAAAGAAGGGAAAACAACGGATTTGTCACATTAGCAGCGCTCATGACGATTCTTTATAAAAAAAATCTTACAACTTTACACACAAATTCTATTTACTATTACCGGCATCATAAAATACATCAGCGCTGCTAATGTGACAAAAAATATGTAAATAACATGACTTTACATATTAATTTTACACCGACAAAGATTTTCATTACAATTCATTCGAAAGACAGGACCACTTCATCCAACACTTCTTCGGGTTTGGATTCTACAGCAATTCTGAATCTCTCACGGAGCAAATCCATCAACATGAAATACTTTTTCTTCTGTAACAATATGCGTTAAGTGTCTAAGATGGATATCCATTGCCATGGGTGATTGCAATATTACGAAGTGAGGTAGAAAGCGCAGCTAATGCAAACAACCTTCAGTAACAAAAAAAACTCCAATTTGCTACAAAAACAAGTCATGGTTATCTGGTTTGAATGTTTGTTAGATTATGACAGCAGATGAAAGTTCAAAATACATTCAAATATAACAAAAGTGTTCCATGACATGTTGCTAGATCAAGATAAAACTCAAATCCGGAGCCTTCGTGGAATGCAAATTCATGTTTACCAAATTTCTCCAATAGAAAACAAAAACAACGGTTTGTTAAGCAGAAAAATGCAGTGGGCATAAGACAAAGTCACGCAAATCTAGGATTTTGATCTGAATCGCACAGCTACCATAACCCAGCCAAAGGGAGGTACCGTAAAAGAATAGCATGTAGTAGGACAGCGATCACAGACCCTCTAAAGTTCATATCTATTACGAACCCCTGTTCGAAGCGAGAGAGTAATAAACTCAACGATGTTATCTCCTTTTTCTAGCTCAAATTTGAAATATGGCCCGCGAGTAGAAAAGTAGAAAAGGCAATGCCGTAGAGTTTCTCCTAGTTAGCGGAAATTGTTACTGGTGTGCTGATAACACCAACCTCTTTGGTGAGAAGAGGTGAAAACACTCGACGCGGACGTCTCTTTCTTCCTGAGGATCGGCACTGAGCAGCATTCTCATCATATGCACAGGGTTCTGGCGTATTCTGATCTGCAAACAACTACCTCACACCTGCCAACATATTTTGCACTGCACACTCGAGAGCGGCAGAAACGTCGTTTTGTGCAGCATGAAAAGAGGAGCACGACTTTTGAAAAACTTTGCTTTTCACCGAATGAAGGGTGAAGTCTTCAACAGTCTTGCTTAAAGACAGATACTGTATTCTTTCCATTCAACTACACCCCCAGCTGAGAAGAGGAGAGTTTGCGCTAATCAAAAGACCGCAGAAGCAGGGCTCGGCACGAGGCGGATTTCCGAAAATGAAAAAAAAACCTCTCCCCTGACTTTCGCAAAATTTTACGAAGTCCCTGACCCTTACCCGAATATTCGAATCGACTAAAGAACCGAAACGTCGACTAAAAAACATAACCTTACTTGTGTTTCCCGACCCACAAAAACGAGATCCCTTCTGCATTTTGTCCCAGAAACGTATTCAGCTTGCTTATAAGCCAGCTGTGTAGAACCCTGCACAGAAGACTTGACTTAGAAGGGCTATAAGCCGCGCGCGTCGCGTCAAGATTTGATGTATGTACATAATTTACAATGAGCGCCTATGCATATAAGAGCTGTGCACGGTAAATCCGTAAAGATCTGAAAGAAGCAAAGTGCGAAGTTTCAGTTTCCGTTTTTTCTATGGAATCGCTGGAGGTAGGCCCTGGCTATTAGATCGCTTCGCACGATCATAATTGCCGACGGGGCGCTTCAGTATAGCCATGACTGCGCACAACTCTCAGTGCCTTTTGTCTAAACAAACATGAGAGAGCGGAAAATTTTTGCCGCGCTGACACGCTAGGACAAGCTATACAGTGTGGTTGTTGGACGTTGTGTGAGCAATGTCCATCTTCCGAAGAATAACCCACCATGTATAAACAGTCGAATCGTTTCATATGATCATGTGTTGCACACACAGTCCACCTTTGGCGTTCTCATCCTGGATTCGTGGGAGAAACAACCCTTTAGGTACGTGTTTTCGATGTGTTCTCAACATTTTCGTTCCTTCTTAAGTACTAATCATCTCAAATGATGTGATCGCTAACGATCGGTAAGTCTCTTGCGGATTTGCGGTGCAAATCCAAGATGAGGGCGCTAAAGGTGAACTGCGTGTGCAATGACAAACATGATCATATGAAATGATTCGACTGTACATCTGTTTCGGTGTGAAACCAACCATTATTTCTCATCCTTACTTGCCACAAACGGCGCGATGATTTTAACACGTTGACGACCGTGCGCATACTCGTGTATGCACGCGCTGACTCCTGTCTTGCACTTTCACTGGGTAGAGGAACGAACACCTCATTGGGCCACGCCTCCCCGCGGGCTGCTGGTGCTTTCGTCCTACTGTCGTGCATCGGGATAGGACCAGTAGTCCGCGAAGGCGGTGCCTAATTGAGGTGTTCGTTCCTCTACCCGCTCAAACGCTGGGACCACGCGCGGCGCGGCTGAATTGTTGCGAGAGCACGACTTGTACAATGGTGAATTTGTACTGGGGCAAGCGTTTTACCTCGCGGCGCGTGCTCCGCAGTGATGTCCAGTCCGTGCGGTCAACGAATCAACTATAACTTCTATGCAGTAAAAATAATACTTGTGGCATGGTCATATAGAAGACAGGGCATCGCGTAGCTGTTCGGTGGACTAAGCTGCAGATGTTATTCAGGCCATTTTGATGTGGTCCAAGATGGCTGGTCGTCAATGTGTCAAGGAGAAAATTACCATAAATAGCTATACTTGAACACACATGCCTGATTGCGACCGACGTCTTTGCACGTTTCCATAAAAAACTTTAGCCTTATGCTCAATCCTTTCTGACCAGCGGATTCCCATCGTGTAACCTTTTATATTCTTGATACCAAAAGGTGAGGGACCTTCACTTGCTTCCTCCGCACAAGATTTCTTCATAGGAGCATCCTGCAACCATTTACGAAGTGCAGGCGAAAGTGAAAAACAATTTGATCAAAACCTCGAAGTGGCAGTCTTTTCGGGATTTGGGGATGTCTGAGGGATTAGGGTCATCCGGAAGATCACTTGAGTGGGTGCTCGTCGACATATTACCAGCTTTATTCTTCTTTGTTGCACTCTGAAAGTAAACACAAGCATCAACTAGAGTACAGAATCTACAGCTACTAGAGACCACTAACAAGGGAAGCTACCTTTCTTAGCTCGGCCTTTTGGCAAGCGGCATATATAGTCTAAATCCGCTTTAAACGCTGATTTCATATATGCTATTCCTATCTGCTACGCACCATTCCCAAGCGAGTTATGGGCTATTTCTGCGCTAAATTGGCATGCTCATCGACTCACGAACATCACTTCATCATCATTTGAGTGCTGATACATCTGCGTTGAGCGTTTTTTAGTGAGAAAAGATTGGATTTGTACTATTTCGATACCTCACCATCTTTTTCTTGCAAATTTTTATCTACAGGCAGTCTTCTCATGTTCAGTAGTATGCCAATTTTACGTATCGTCCATTCGTTGACTGTACGGACATAACCGCGGAGCACGCGCCGCGAGGTAAAATGCTTGCTCCGATACAAATTCGTCATTGTTAAAATCGTGCTCTCGCAACATTTTAACCGCGCCGCGCGTGGTCCGTAGCGTTTGAGCAGTCCGTACGGCCAACGAATCGACGATAGGAGAAAGCCCATAACTCGCTTCGGAATGGTGCGTGGCAGCTAGGAATAGCATATTTGGAATCAGCGTTTGAAGCTGATTCAGAATGTATATGTCACTTGCCAAGGCCGAGTTAAGTTAGGTAGCTTTCCTTACAAGGATTTTGCTGGCCCGAAAAAGATTGCAAAAAGTAGGAAAAGCATCGTACATCGGTTTGAAAGGGGTAGAGGAACGAACGCCTCAATTAGGCATCGCCTCCGCGGGCTGCTGGTCCTTTCGTCCTATTGTTGTGCATCGTGTTGGGACCAGTGGTCCGCGGAGGCGGTGCCTAAGTGAGGTGTTCGCTCCTCCACCCGTTTGAAAGTGCAAACTCAAAAAACGGTACGATCGCACACTAACTGCCGACATATGGATGAGGGAAGTTTGTGTCAACGATGTGTTTCCTTTTCGATAAGCTCAAGGGCAATGCTAGAGTTCCGCGTCGCGTTCGCGAGCGAATAGGCGTTTCATTAAACGCAAAGGCTGGATGCCGTTGAGTCCGACTAAGATAGGTCATGCGTTAGAGAGACAGCAGACAGCAAAGGACTGACAGCGCTCGATCACCGAAACACCGACAGTGTCCGCAGTGAAGCCCAGTTTCTGACGGATTAATGGCTTTTAGCGCTTGAGCGTTCAAATGTGCCGCATCGATTGGAGATCGCTGCGAATGCCCATGCGCTGCAAATCCATAGTTGCTACGATAAAGAGAGCACGTGGTTGACACAAATTGTACGCCAGACGCGGATTTAGGAGTAATGCACATGCATTCTTCCCGTAACTCAAATGCAGGTTATAAGTTGTAGGAATCCGATCTAAGACAGGCGCTACAACTATGTCATTGCCTAATTAGTAATCCAAACCATGATACTGGAAGTGAAGATTGGAGGAAATTGGGAGAACGCATATACTGTACTACAGCTTAGCGGGCAAGTCAAATCCTTCTGCACGTCCGCACTACATCCTGCAGTGGTGATTAGGATCTACTTTCCCAGAATGGATGTAATCCAATAGTCGCAGAAGGAACCTATGGGAAGTACACGTTCTTTACTTCTACTCGACGTTAAAGGCACCGTCCACCCAAAATGGAGGTTGGCGAGATTATGATGGCATACTAGTGTGGGCCCCCACACTAGGCAAACCCCGAAGCTTTGCCGCAAAAAACTGCTTCTGGAGCGAGAAATCCGCTCCGGAAGTAGCAAAGTTACTTTATCTCGCCTGCGCTTGTTGCAAAGGGTTCTCGAAACAGGGATTTTTGGGGGTTTCGCGGATTTTCGACTCCATATTCGGAATTAGGGCTTTCAGAAGGCCTGAAGGCGACAAAAACATTGAACTCAAGATTTTGGGTGGACGGTGCCTTTAAAATAACATTGGGAAACGTTTCGCGATCCGATCACCTGCAAAAGAAAACCTCATCTTTGAGACCGGTTCTTCCGTTTAGGCTGCGTTCATACTGATCCCAGGTCCGGGAACAGTTCCAGCACAACGCTCAGTTCGGCGCACATGAAGCGACTAATTGGGATCCCAAATAAGGAACTGTCCAAGCGGCTGCACCAATGGTTCAACACCGGTGAGGGATTTGTCTTCAAACTTGTCCCCGTTACCGTATTTGGCGAACACCTAGCATCGGCTTGCGTGCTATTGCTCCGGGTCCTCCCTTCGTGAAACGGGCCCTCGCGCGAAACATACAAAAGGGTGCAGATCATCCGCTACGGTACCAGAGACAGATTTAGAGGTGTCTGTGGTCTTTGCTGGATCGCTTGAATCATCGCTTGAATCGAGATCTCTAATTAGCTTTCGCGTGATATCCGCATATGCCAGACTGAACAATGCCTTGATGGGTGGGGGGGGGGGGGCTATTTTGGTCAGAATGAGCTTGAATCCTTGAATGCCACAAAGACGACAATTACGAGTGATTCTTCATTGTCTTCTCTTTCATTCCCGCTAGTTCTGCCGGCCTTTGAGACACAACTAATTTTCAACATAAGATATGGGGTGAGAGGGAAGAGTGAAGCGGAGAGGAAGCTTCTACTATCACCTGTTACTTAGTTAGATTATTTCAGGGTCTCGGTCATGTTTATTCATCCCATTTCAATCAAACTCACTACCCTATTTTCAGGTGTATAAGCCGCACCCTTTTTGCTCTAAATGCGAGTAGACCCAGGCATGCGGCCGCGCACATGCCTCGCGAAGCGGTCGCCTCATCGCATACTGCTCTCACTTAACGCGCTCCATGATGACAGTCAGTCTTTTGCCGTGTTCGCCTTTAGAGCAAAAAGGGTGCGGCTTATACACCTGAAAATAGGGTACCATCCGATCGTACAGACGGTTCAAATTGGGCTGGAAAACACTGACTGCGCCATCAAACCATAATTCACTTCCGGCTTCTATCGTCGATTCGTTCGCACGGACTGCTCAAACGCTGCAGACCACACTTGGGAAATGTTGCAAGAGCAGATTTGTACAATGGCGAATTTGCTTATACAGTCTGCATCAATCCGAAATTGGCCAAAATTGGCATGGCGCGAACCCGTGTCGCGAGGGTATTGCGTCACGTCTACGGCTAGCCAGTCTGCTCTCTCCTCAATCTCTTCGCTCTCTGTGACAGCGCGCGTATGCAGCGCAGACCCCTAGCGTTGCGAGCGCGCAAATTCAGCCGGCGCTTCGGCCTGATCCCGATTGGGGCAGACTGTAGACAACTGTTTTGACACACAGACAAGCATTTTGCCTCGCGGCGCGTGCTCCGCAGTGATGTCCGTGCGGTTCACGAGTCGATGGTACAATGACTGGCAACTAATTCGCATTTTTAGATGGTTTGAGTTCATGTAACCGCCACCGGAATCAAGTGTATCTCCCACGCGCTGATACTGTATGAGGAAATGTTAGCGAAATATCGTTACTCAGCGACCTGATCAAGTAAAGGTTACCCTGTAAGTGCAAAGTTTATAAATGAGGATGAAGAGGGCTCAATGCGAGAAATTGATGATGTCCCAAGCGCCCCGTCTTCGCTATAGAAGACTATACAAGACTACACACGTAAAATAACCTCTGTGGACTAACGAGGGAAGTACTTTCAGTGGCCGTGGCCTTTTGATATAAGACGCATATTGTCTGAAGCAGCTTCGAACGCTGGTTTCAAACCTACTTTCCGTTTCTGCGGAGCGCCCTTGTGAAGAGTTATGAAAGCCTGAATATTCTATTTTGGGGGCGTTTATAGAGCTTGAGAGCGCTGCTATGAGCGTCGGTGGTGCAGTGGTGTAATGGTTAGTTGTTGGCGTTGAAGGCAAAAAGTCGGTGATTCGAATCCGATGCAGTGCGAACCATTTTGCTCTCTGAATGTCAGTTCAACTCTAAGCACTCTAATTCGTCTGCAGTTACTTACCGTAATGCCCTTGGCAAATGTAACCTAAGGGAAAAATTTTCTGGCATAATTGCTTGCAATGAGACCCTAACACTCTACCTGACTTCGTTATCAGTTAAACAGGAATGAACATGATGAAGCATGTTCATCAACATATAAAGCTCAAGGAATGCGCACTATTACTGATCGAGAAGATGTTCTCTCCTGCCTTTAATTTGATGTGTACTTACGAGCATGAGCCATACGCTGTTCCCGTTGCGAGAAATATCTGTATTTTGCTTACTTTGTAATTTCGCTTCACCTCTATACATATTTTTTTGCGGAGAAAACCAAATTTCAACAAGCAAGCGGTTTTACCAGAAATTTTTTTGATTAGGCCACATTTGCTAAGGGCCTTACAGTAAGTGACTGCAGACGAACTATACTGGTTTTTTAAACTTACATTTAGGGCCGCATGCACTAACATCCCCGCGGGGAGGGGATCGCAGCTCAAAAGAAAGCTTTATATTTCGAAACTCCAGATACCTGGATTTCACGTTGTGTACCTATCCGTAAGTATTCCTACTACCCTTCACTATGAACATGTTGAAGAGGAGCGAGAAGCTGTATGAACCGCATTTTCCAGCTTTTATATGATCCCTGATGATCCCCGGCGCTTTTCTTTAAAGTCATTTTCCTTTCTCCGAGGTTAACGAAAAACTTCCAAAGTTGTGCAGATTATCTAACCCGCGAGTGATAAGCATGTTCCTGATAAGAACAAAGGATGTTTTGAAGTCATGAAATTTTCGATGATCCACATGTCGAAATTTGAGGTTTACCGAAAAATTCGACTTTTCAAAAACTCATTTGTTCTCATCAGCAACATGCTTAGCACTGTTGTGTTAGATGTTCAGTACAGCTTTGAAAAGTTTTCGTTAACTTCGGAGAAAGAAAAATGACTTTGAAGAAAAGCGCCGGGGATCATCAGGGATCATACAAAAGCTGGAAAATGCGGTTCGTACAGCTTCTCGCTCCTCTTCAACATGTTCATAGTGAAGGGTAGTAGGAATACTTACGGATAGGTACACAACGTGAAATCCAGGTATCTGGAGTTTCGAAACATAAAGCTTTCTTTTAAGCTGCGATCCCCTCCCCAGCGGGGAAGTTTGTGCATGCGGCCCTTAAAGTGCAAAATGGTTCCCTCTGCACCATCGAACCACCAACCTCTCGCCTTCAATGCCAATAACTAACCATTACACCACTGCACCACCGACGGTCATAGCACCGCTCTCAAACTCAAAGAGCGCCCCCAAGATAGGATTTTCAGGCTTCCATAACTCTCTTCAGAAGGGCGCTCCGCAGAAACAGAAAGCAGATTTGAAATCAGCGTTCGAAGCTGCTTCAGATGATATGCATCTCATATCAAAAGGCCACGGCCATTGATAGTACCCCCTTGTAAGTATCAGCGGATTCTGAGCTCTCCAAATATTAGGCCACACGAATAGGACAATAGGTCACTGTGAGCAGCGGTGTGCATCTGATGAAAATGTGCGCAAAACCTCCCCTTAAGACGACCTTGTGTCCTCTGCAGGGCCCCCAAATGTGGTATTTGCAAACATGGCCAATTTTTTTTGTAAAGTGAATTAGCCACTTCTTTCCGCACCAGCACAAAGCATTAGTCTTCTTAGCCCACATTAGGAATCCCCTTGAACGAGGAGAAACTATGGGATCAGGAGCCAGCTAAAATCTTGTTGTCACATTCGCTTTCAGTGGTTGTTCAGCAACTAGTACTTTGATGAATGAGGGCAAATCAGGCTCAGATCATTGCTGTGTAACCCACGATATCACGCTATCGAACTTGCATAAAATTTGACGAAGTTCTATGTGTAACAGGTGAATGGGATGTAATACAACCCCAGAAAAGATATGGCTGCAACATTTCTTGGCTTGTGTCAAGCTTACTAACTTGAGTTCTGAAAAGTTGTGAGAAAGGTGGATCACTTTTTCCAAAAAGCCTAATTTTAAAGCTCATTTTACATCCCTCCGATCCTTAACACATTCACGACAATACGACCCACCGGTGGGTCGTACGTGTACTGCCATTTCGGACATATGACCCACCTCTGGGTTCGACTACTAAGCACTGCAGATTTATTATGGAGATATGGGGCCTGCAGGATCGCGAGAGTCGGACGTGCGTACGGCCATTGCGCCGCGCGCGTCAGATGTGCGTCCGACAACTCAGGTGGGTGCCAGACTTATCCTGTTGAATACGTTCATTCGGTTCACTACCTTTGCTATTGGACAGCGTAGTAATTTGACCTATGAACCGAACGAACCGAAGGCTCAAGCGGATAAGTCTGGCACCTACCCTAGTGACATCAAACGTGCGCGGCGCAATGGCCGTACGCATGTCCGACTCTCGCGATCCTGTGGGCCCCTATACATGAGACGTCCGCACATGTTTGGAGACATCTAGGGTAGGCCTAAAGAAGACCACCTTTCAGACAAACGACCCATCGGCAGTCGAAAAAAGACACGAGAAAGTTGATACCAGTGGGTCGTATGTCCGAAACGGCAGGAATCGATAAAACGACCGTGTCGTGAATGTATTAAAGGCAGCGTACACTCAAGATTTCGCTTTCGATGTTTCTGTCATTCTGGGGCTTTCCGCGCCCCTGATTACAGTTAAGACATCGAAATTCTCCAAACCCCCCAAAACACCCCGACTCCCGGGGATCCTCTCTCCAGAGGGCGGACGATTTTCGAATTGCTCTCCCCGTCGGCATGCCAGCAGCTGCAACAGCATGACAGCCTGCAATTGCAACTGCAGCTGCTGCGTATGCTGTCGTGATTCGTCGTCCGAAGGAGGCGTACTGCAAAAAGCAACTACATTGTTGCAACTGCAACTGCAACTGCAGTTGCAAAACTGCAGCTTACGCTGTCGTGGGTTCGTCCGAAGGAGGCGGAGTGAAAAAAGGGGCGGAGTGAAAGAAAAGGCGGGTTTTCTCCGCTCAGAAGCAACATTGGGAGACCGGACCGACGCAGTTGGTCTTCTTCTGGGCCCTGTACATACACGGTATAGAGGACTGGGTAACTTAACTTTTGGGTGTACGCTGCCTTTAAACGTGCTGCGTTAACACACGCAAATGTTGGGGGGAGGGGGTCTGAGAAAAATTATGAGAATTCGCTTCCGACAGACATCTCCCCTTTGCCAGATCTCCTCCGCTCGCGCTCGGCACCAAATCTCCCCCCTTCCTCCTGCAACGCCCCTTTCAATCTTTCAAATCGCTATCAAAACGCTGTACGTATTGTACGTCCCCCAGCGAGCCCCCATAGCTATCGTCCACTCCACGATGCTGCTATCCCTGCTCTGCATCTCTGGCCTGCGGCATGCATAGCTAACATGCTGGCAGCATGCAACAAACTGTTTGCAACAAAGTATTTGCAGCAATGTGTCGACAACATGCAAGAACATGTTCGCAACAACATGTTGACAAGCATTTTGGCTCTCAGCACCAACATTGCTCCACAACAGCTGCTCTACGTCTCGAGCCTGCGGCATGCATGGTTAACGTGCTGGCAGCATGCAACACATGTTGACATATGTTGTGACAGTTAGATGCTGACGTTGAGGCTATAGCCAAAATGTTTCAACATGTCATTGTAAACATGTTGTTGCATGTTGCCAACATGTTAGCCTTACGTGCTGCAGGTCACAGGCGCATAGCGAAGGCACCAGCAATTGGAATGGGACGATACCAGCTCGCTGCCTTCTGCTTTCTGATACGTTGACAGCTTCACTCGATGTGAACGTTTGAAACGATTGATAGGCAACTAATTGGAGGTGCAATCGATGGTAACTGTGGGGGCCGGACGACAGATGATATGCACAAGCTCGTCACGTGCTCTGGGTACAGCTGGGAGAGGGCGATATTGTTGACATGGTCGATTTCCTAATGTACCGCTCCCCTTATTCTGTTCAAACCAGTGCATTTCCATACACAATGCATTGATTTGCAGGTAGCTCAGTTGGTTTCATTCATCATCATTCAAGCACTGATGGCACGTGGTCATCAAAAAATTCAATCGCAGCAGAAAGCACAGAAAAGGGTAAGCGCCGAATCCAATCAAGCACTTTGCCAACCAGAAAAGAATTTTTAAGGCAGAGGCCCTCAAAAAATCGCAAGGTTGTGATCAGCGTGGTGCGGCACAGAAGGCTTTGCACCACAAGTGCAGTGTATGCATGGCACAGATGCCGGATCTAAAAACGTACAAGCAGCACTTCGAAAGTCGTCACCCAAAAACACCTCTACCACAAGAACTGGCTGATGTGCAGAACTGAATCGTTGCAAGCACAGATTTCAAGAACTAATAACTTTGAAAGTTAGTGAATAAAAGTCTTAAGATAATCACTCGTTACCGATTTTCGATGTACGGTCGCGTTTGGGAACATTGCAAGTATCGGTCATTCTCGACTAACAAGGGAAGTACTTTCAATGGCCGTGGCCTTTTGATATGAGATGCATATCTTTTGAAGCAGCTTTAAACGCTGATTTTAAACCCGCTTTTCGTTTCTGCGGAGAACCCATCTGGAAAGAGTTATGAAAGCCTGAAAATCCTGTCTTGAGTTTGAGAGTGCGTCAATGGTGCAGCGGTGCAATGGTTAGTTGTTGGCGTTGAAGGCGAAAGGTCGGTGGTTCGAATACGGTGCAGAGCGAACTATTTTGCACTTTGAATGTGAGTTTAAAAACTAATCCAATTCTTCTGCAGCCCTTACTTTAATACTCTTGGCAGATATGATCTAACAAGGGAAGTCACTTAACTTAGATCGGGCTTTTGAAATGAGACACATATGGTTGGAATCAGCTTGAAACGCTGATTTCAAATCTGCTTTCCTTAGCTGCGAAGCATTCCTCTGAAGCGAGTTATGAGCTTTTTCCTGAGCAAATTTTGCGTGTTGACCGACTTAGGCACGCTACGGTATCATCATCTAGGTAGTGGTTCAAATGCATATTATACCCTATCAAAGTCAAATGACTCAATTTGATGTTATTTCGACTTTCCACCACTTTTTGGGCAGATTTTCATCTAAAGACCTTCTTTCCATATTGAGTTGTATGTCAATGACACATACTAAAAAAGCTAATAACTCGCTTCAAAGGAACGCTTCGCAGCTAAGGAAAGCATATTTGAAATCAGCGTTCCGAGCTGATTCTAAATATGTGTGTCTCATTTCAAAAGCCCGACCTAGGTTGAGTGTTGAGTGACTTACCTTGTAAGCAAAAAATTTTCGGGCATAACTGTTTGTACTGAGGCCCTGAAACTCTACCAAACTCGTTACCAGTAAAACAGGAATGAACGTAAAGCAAAGCATGTTCACCAGCATATAAAGCTCAAGGAATGCGCACTATCATCAATCGAGAAGATGTTCTCTTCTACCTTTAACTTTATGAGTACTTGCGAGCATGAAAATTGCGCGGAGTTTTTCTTCATACGCTGTTCCTGTTGTGAGAAAGGGTGCCTTCATACCGCGCCGGCAGCCGCCGCTGGCAGCCCGTAGCAGCCGCTGGCAGCCCGCAGCAGCCGCTGGCAGCCCGTAGCAGCCGCCAGCAGCCCGCAGCAGCCGCCAGCAGCCCGTGGCAGCCCGTAGCCGCCGCTGGCCGCTTCTGTCATACAAGCGCAAAATCATCAAATTCTTACTATTTTAAGTGCAACCGCCTACGCCCTCCATCCTCCACGCTTATTCCTTTCTGTTGCCGCAGTTTCATCTCATATAACAACATACCTTGTCCGTTCTTGTTATTATCTTGTTACCGTAGATTGGTTATCCTATCGATGCTCAGTTTCCCTCTCGCAATTGAACCATATTTCGCCAAAGTTTCTTCGCAATGTGATTTCTTCTGACTTTGGATGCGTCCAGTTCCTGCAGGTTGCTATTTGTTGATTTTTTTAGGTATGTTCTGCTTCAGTCATATCACATCGGCGTTGAAGATGGAAAATATGGGCAGGCGCAGGAAAGGACTAAGAATTTGATGATTTGCGCTTCTATGACAAAGGCGGCCAGCGGTGGCTACGGGCTGCTGGCGGCTGCTACGGGCTGCTGGCGGCTGCTACGGGCTGCCAGCGGCTGCTGCGGGCTGCTACGGGCTGCCAGCGGCGGCTGCCGGCGCGGTATGAAGGCACCCAAATGTCTGTGTTTTGCCCACTTTTTAATTTCGCTTCACCTCTGAACATATTTTTTTTGCGGAGGAAACCAAATCTCAAAAGCAAGCGGTTTGCCAGAAAAAATTTTCCTTAGGTCACGTTTGCTAAGGGTATTACAGTGGGAGGCGTGCAAGTGGTACCCGGGCAGCCGACTGCTGCCGCAGTCAGCCGTTAGAGTTGCCGGCAAAGTCGCTACAGATGGTACAGTAATTACGCTCGTCGTCTAAAACTCTTGCCGATAGGTTTTCTTGCACCTAGTTGCTCTGAGATGCGATATCAGCCTCAGAAAAGCGTGATATGCTCGATATCTATATTATTTTGAACAGCAGAAAATTCATGTTTTTGAGAAACATGCAAATAAAAAGGCAAACGGGGGAGAGGTTTTTTGAAGGAAAATGATCACAAATTCAAATTACTCTAAAAAACTCAAAGTTTGCAGAAGCTGAAAAGTTCAAAAATGTTTCAAATTTCTAGGGATTTTCTCGTTTCTACGTCGAAGAACGGACGAGAACAATAATAGGAAAATGTCATGGATATAACGGTAAGAAAATTGTGTCAAGATGATTATTTCATACAAAGTGGTGTTAGGCGAGCTAAATAAGGTCAATAATAACGTAATATCCTCAATATCTATATCATTTTGAAGAGCAGAAAAAAGCCATATTTCATTGGGAACCATATAGTCGAGTACAAAACTATACCGAAAATTTTCCAAAAGTTCACAAACAATTACAAAAATAAATGAATAGGAAATCAAACAGTTTTTTTCTGTCAAATTTTGAAATCAAAGTACAATATATCATTGACGATGCAATTTTGAGGATCCTTAATTCTTAGAAGTCAAATTCACTTTTCCATGAACACTTCAGAATTCGAAATGCGGCTATGTGGAAGGATTATTAGAGGTGATTCTTTCAATTTTGAACTTTTATTATTTACAATGAGTTGTGAATTTTTTTCGTTATTATTTTTTTATTTTCTCAAAATACCTGGAGAAGTGAACTGTGTAGATATTAAAATAGTACATACTTCCTGGTGATGTTCCTTTTTATATTAGCAGATGTGGCATATTTTCATCTTTTATTATTGACTACTCAATTTGATTGACCTATTTGCCTTATTTAGCTCGCTTAACACCACTTTGTATGAAATAATCATCTTGACAGAGTTTTCTTACCGTTACATCCATGACATTTTCCTATTATTGTTCTCGTCCGTTCTTCGACGTAGAAACGAGAAAAAAATCCCTAGGAATTTGAGACATTTCTGAACTTTTCAGCTTCTGCAAACTTTGAGTTTTTTAGAGTAATTTGAATTTGTGATCATTTTCCTTTCAAAAACCTCTCCCCCGTTTGCCTCTGTTTATTTGCATATTTCTCAAAAACGTGAATTTTCTGCTGTTCAAAATGATATAGATATCGAGGATATCACGCATTCCTGAGGCTGATTTTGCATGTCCGAGCGACGAGGTGCGAGAAAACCTTTCGGCAAGAGTTTTAGACGACGAGCGTAATCACTGTACCATCTGCAGCGACTTTGCCGGCAACTCTAACGGCTGACTGCGGCAGCAGTCGGCTGCCCGGGTACCACTTGCTACGCACCCTATTACAGTAAGTGACTGCAGACGAACTAAACTGGTTTTTAAACTGACATTCAAAGTGCAAAATGGTTCCCTCTGCACCGTATTCGAACCATCCACCTTTCTCCTTCAATGCCAACAACTAACCATTGCACCACTGCACCACCGAACTCACATAGCACCGCTCTCAAACTCAAAGAGCGCCCCCAAGATAGCATTTTCACGCTCTGAATTAGCCTTAAACGCTGAATCCAAATATGCTACCTTTACCTGCCGCGCATCATTCCGAAGCGAGTTATGGGCTTTTTCCTGCGCAAAATTGGCATACTACTGAACATGGAAGATTGTCTGCAGATGAAAATCTGCAAGAAAAAGGTGCTGAGCTATCGAAATAACATAAATCCAATCTTTTCTCGCAAAAGAGAGGCTTGACGCAAGTGCATTAGCGCTTAGGTGATGATGCCGTGATGGAGTGAGTCAATGAGTATGCCAATTTCGGGCAAGAAAAAGTTCGTAGCTCGCTTCGGAATGCACTCGGCAGCTAGGAATAGCATATTTGGAAGCAGCGTTTAAAGCTGATTCAGAATATATATAGTTCATTATAAAATCGTGACGACGGATTTTACTGCGGACTTTGCGCCCACATGAGCATAAAACGCTCATATAGGAAGGCATCACCTCAACGTTCAGCTCAGTTACTTCCAATGTCTAAATGTTTACCATACGTAAGCAAAAAAAAAACCATTCGACTAGAGATGAAAACCAAGCAAATGTGACTTCCGGAAATGGCGTGCGTGTCGCGCGCGGTTGCGCCATCTTCGCACTTTTTCAGATGCCCTATATGTCCCTTGCCAAACGGCCGAGGTAAATTAGGTAGCTTCCCTTGTTAGAAGCAACGGTACTATTCCACATTAGTTGACCCAAAAAATAAAAATCGTGAATTTCGCTAAAACTTCGTCCAGGGGGGTTATTTAGTATGCTGAACACGAATATGATGTTTGTTTCGCTCGGGAGCCCCACCCAGTGGAGTTAAGGTAGGACTACGGTAAAGGGTCAAAATCACGGATTTGCCCGAAACTTGGCCCAGAGAGGTTGCTCGGCCCACTGATGCCAAATATCACACTGGTTTTGAACCGTAGCGTCATTTTCTCGGGTTACGGTAGCTACACGGTAACCGATGTAAAACATAGTTTTGCCTGAAACCGGTGTAGTACATCGACTCGGACTCGTGAAGCTTTGCACACACGACCACCGCCGCGCGCTACACACCTTGCTGCGGCTTTTGCGTAAGCAAAGTACAGAGGAAGGATACATTTGCCGATTTGTGATTTTGACCGCCTACCTCAAACCCACCGTAACCATGCAGGGATACGTTTTCGTGCGGAGAAAGTGTGACATTTCTGATCAGCATGTCGATTAACCCCTCTGTACAAAGTTGCAGCGGATTTTGAGTTTTTGGCCCCTACCGTACACTCAACTTAGCCCGAGAAAATGACGCTACGGTACAAAACCAATGTAATATTCAGCATTAGCGGGCCGAATAACCCCTCTGGGCCAAGTTTCGGGCAAATCCGTGATTTTGACCCCTTGTAATCCTACCGTAACTCCACCGGATGGCGCTGTC